CGGCACGTCAACTTGTCATAGTCAAAAGTCAAGGACCCAATGCTGGGCGCTAGTCGCGGCGGCCCACTGTCTTCACGCGCCACTCTCTCACACTTTCTCAGTATTGCACAGGTGGTTGAGGGAGGGAGGGAGGGAAGGGGGGTGCCGGCGCGATAGCGCGAAGGCGCAGCCCTTCCCCAGGAGAGAGTGACCAGGATCGCCTTAGGGGGCGGGGATGGGGCATTCACAGTTCCCACTAGCCCCCCACAATCGTATGCATCATTATGTGTGTACGTCTTTGCGTTTTCCTGGCTGTTTTGGAATGCCAAAGAGGTCATTACTCCCATAGCGGAAGAACTTGGGGGAAAGATGGGTCCCGTTTGGACGGGGCGGGGGGGCGGGGGGTGTTGGCGCCTGGATTTCGGGGGAGGCTGGGGAGGGACTTTTAGCACCCCGTTCTTGAATGAGGCTGAGAGAGTATGGTGGGGGTGAGGGGGCTGACGTGGCTCAAGGGAAGCAGGTGGCCTCTTCAGTCAACTTAATTTGAATTTCAGTTCCAGCTGTGTGGTCCTGGGCAAGTTCAGTTTCTTGCCCTGGACTCGGGGCTACACCCCAGGGCTGTGTTGAGAAGTGGGGCTCAGCTGTTGAAAGCTTACCTGGCTAGTTCCTCGCCCTCTGGTTAAGGTGTCTGCGTGGGGCTCAGGCCATCAACCTTAGCTGCAGTTCTTCAGGGAGGGCTTCCTAAGGGGTCTGTGCCAGCCCCAGGCACTTACCCTGTTACAAAGGTGTGTGCGCCACCTGTGTGTCGGCTCAGGGAGATAACCGCTGAGGCCTCATTGATGCTGAAATTGCCTGATCCCACACCTTGAGCATCTGAGGCTTCTCTGGAAGAGGCAGAGCGGTGACCCCCATGCAGAGCCCCTTTGCTGGGTGTAGTCAGTGGAAAGTGGCCAGTGAGAAAACTGGAAAACAGTTCTTAGTTTAGAAAACAGTAAAACACAAAGAAGAAAAACTCATCCACCATGTCACCACTTAAATTAATAAAATGTTGTCATCCTTTCTCCCCTCTTTCACTCCCCCCATAGTAATTGCTCTCCCTGGACTTATAAGCAAACAGCCTTTTAGAAATGTAGTTATCTTGTACTTACTGGTTTGCAACTCTTTTTCATCTCTCTCATGACCTTTCCAGATCAAACTGCTTATAAATCACTCTCATTCTCTCCAATAGTTATGGTGTGTTCTTTAAGGCGTGTGTTTCATTATTGATTGATAGGACTCTTACCTAAAGTCCCTTCCCTCCTCCCCCAAATTGATGGGCAGTTACGTTGTTTCCTGGGTTGCTTTTCTTTCTCTTTTTCTGTTACAAGTGATGCCTCCGTGAACATCCTTGTTCGTGTTTCTTTCTGCACATATATGATTATTGGATCAAAGCATATGCATATTTTACTAGATGCTCGCAGGTTGTCCTAAAATAATCAAGTTGAGCCAATCTGCCCCCCTACCTGCAGTGGCTGATACTGCCTGTCTCCAGTGACAACGTAAGTCCTACACTTGATCTTAGCCAAAAGGCCGAGAAGCGATGATAATGTAAGTCCTGATGCTGCAGGGTGGGTGTGAGGGCAGCAACAATTTCCCTGAAGCGGTAGAAGGGATGGTAACCTCTCAGGGATGCGACTGCTGATTTTCAACAGAGAATTGTTTCCTGGGATTTTGTATAACATCCTGTACTGGCCTAACATGTGCAGAAGAGAAGAAAACCCCCCTGCTTCCTGGTGCTGGCTCCTTGAATCCCAGAAGTTTATTTTGAAGAGAAGGACATGAAAAGTAGAAATGGTGAAACCTCTTGTTGAACCTCAGCCATGTTTGTATTTATACCATAAGTCATTTTACAGAGTTACCTAGGGAAGATGAGAAACAGGAACAAAAAAGGGATTTCAAAGCCCTTTCTTTCTTTCTTTCTTTCTTTCTTTCTTTCTTTCTTTCTTTCTTCCTTTCTTCCTTTCTTTCTTTCTTTCTTCCTTTCTTTTTGTTCTTTTTCTTTCTTCCTTTCTTTCAGCAGAAGCAAAATGGAAGTTGCCTGTGATGGCTAGGTGCACCTCCCCCAGTGTCAAGGCCTTGGAGACCTCCTTGCCTTAGATGCTGACCGCCCAGCTCTGGAAGCCTGGGTCGGGAGCTGGCTGCATTTTGGTGGTCGATTCCAAAGGATCCAAGGATCTTGTTGCCGTGAGGATGTCCTTCCAGTTCTGGCCAGAGGCAGCACGAAAGACTTGTTTATGGTGGAGCCAATCCACTGGGCTTTTGAGCTGGAAGTAACCAGAATCCTGGGATGGTTAAACCCAAGGCCCTCCCAGAGCCAGACAGAATGGAGAGCCCCAGTGCCTCCGGCTGGCAGGTTTAATCAGAGGTGGAGGTGTGACAGGGTGTGTGTTTCCCCTGGATGCCCTCCTGCACGTTGGACTTGAGACCTGGGGGTGGGGAACTCCAGCGTCAGCATGGTAAAGAGCTGCGGAGCTGGGACCAGGTGCAAACCCTGGTTCTGCCACTTTCCAGCTCTGTGACCTTAGACAAGGCCTTTAACCTCTCCGTAGAGAGGGACAGGGGCTGCCACAGTAGTTTCTGTCTGGCCAAATTCTGCCGTGGGATTCTGAATTGCAGAAGGCAGGTGCTGAAGGAGCAGAGGTGTGGGATCCAGACCAGGGTTCTAATCCTGGGGCATGACCTTGTCTGCATGACCTTGATCACATCATTTCACCCCTTAGGGCTTGTTTTCACTTCCTGTATTTCTCATTGAGATAAATGAGAGGAACCAGGTATAGCAGGTGCTGGCACCTGGGAGGGCCAATGAACAGTTATTGGGTGAGAGTGGCCATGGGCACCTTGTTTTCTCCCTTTGACCTGGATTAGAGGGTGAAGAGGTGGGAGGCTCACTTCAGGCAGAGTTCTTGGCACACCCTCTTAGTCCTGCTGCAGGGCCTTCACTTAAGCCTGTTCCTCTGCCTAAAACACTGTTCCCTCCTTCATTTTTAAAAAAAAATTAGATTCAGATGCCCTCTACCCCAAAGCTTTCTCTGCGCCCTCTAAGCTCCTGGCCTCACCCCAGACTAAACTCAGGGCCCCTCCCCAGTAGCCTCTCTCCACTCCCCCCTCATTTGCTTACTAGTCTCCAGCTTGGTGCTTGGCAGTAGAGTTGACACTCAAAGTATTGACTAACTGGCTGATTAATACTATCTGAGGCCCTGCTAAATGCTGGGGCTGCGTATATATTGTAGCTTTCGTCCTTCCAGCACCCCTTCAGGGTGGTACTGTTATCCCCATTTTACAGATGAGGAAACTGAGGCCCTGAGTTTGAGCATCTTGGCAGGAGGCTCTGGGCAAGTCAGAGCCAGAGTAGAGGCCAAGACAGCCCTGGCTGACAACCTGCCTCTCTACAGAGTAACCACTGTGGGCTCCTAAAGGGGTTTGGAGGGAGGGAAGGAGGTAAGGAAGGCACACAGAACAATTGATGGCAATAGATTCAGCAATAGCTAAATCCCAGGAGCACTGACTTTGCATCCTTGTTTTAAGGGCCAAGACCAAGCATGTCAAACTCGCGGCTGGCGGTCCGCATGTTTGACATGCTTGGCCAAGACATACTCTCCGGTTTAATCCTCACAAGAACCTTTAATCTATTTTCCTCTTTCCAAGTGTGGAAATGAGGCCCAGGGGCTTAAGTGACTTGGTGTAGGGCCAGCCTTAGTTCAAGTCCCCTCTGAGTGGCAGGCAGAGTGTCTTTGGATGTTTGGGGGCAGAATTGGGGGTTGAGGGTGCAGAGCAAGGGCTCAGGGAGGGACTGCAGGGTTGAGCAGAGGAGTGACATAATTTCACTCCTGTTCTGAAAGCATTCTTCTGGCTACTGGTCTGTGAGTTGTCTGTAGGAGGCAGGCAGAAGCAGGGAGACCAGTTAGTAGGTGCTTAGAATAATCCTATATAATAAAAGCCTAATATGCAAATCGATCAACTGGCAGAACGACTGGTTGCTATGATGCGCACTGACCACCAGAGGGCAGATGCTCAATGCAGGAGCTGCCCCCAGCCTGTAGGCCCAGGCCACCCAAGGCGGGTGCGAGTGGGGGCACCCCGATCACCCTGACAGTTACCCCACAGAGGGAGGCGACCAGTGGTGGCAGCAGGGGGCAGGGCGGCCAAGACAGGTGCCAGTAGGGGGGCCCCCCGATCACCCCCGCCGGTCACACCACAGATCAGTCCTGATCGTCAGCCAGGCCTAGGGACCCTACCTGTGCACGAATTTTGTGCACCAGGCCTCTAGTCCAAGTATAAGTTCTTGGAAGAACTGGTGAAGGGGCGAGATGGGTTGGATTCTGGATTTGCTGTTGGATTGGGTGTGGTTGTGAGAGAGGCCTGAGATTTGGCCAAGGAAGGTCCTGAGGTTTGGGGCCCTAGTGCCCCTCTGGTCACACAATTCGCTGCCACTAGAATCTTCTCCTAAACATCAGCTGTTGATGGGAATAGGTGGTGATCAAGGTCACCTGCTGGATGCTGAGCTTTGCTGGTGACATCGCATTCCAAGCTTTCTAACTGTGCCATTTTAGAAAGGAGGCTCTGAGGCTTGCAGGGTCACACAGCCTGCCCAGGGCCACAGAGTCGGCAGGAACCTATACCGGCACTTGAACTTGAGGCTGCCGGGCCCCGAGGTTTTCTGCCCTGTTGGCCCCATTTCTGTGCAGAGGTCTCCATGGACACATTCTGAAGTTTTGCTTTCTTCTGTTTCCAACTTCATGTAGGAAATAAAGGGATGGTTAGAAATTTCTCGGGAGGATAGAAAAGGATGTTGGGGATGAGGGCTGGGAGCCAGCCTGGGCTGCTTTGACTATTCAAATATTCTACAGCATGAAAGTGTGTGGGGAGGGAGGGGCTCCCGGCCAGGCTGGGGCGATTTGGTTATTCAAAGCCTGGGTGACGGTTGGGCATTGAGGTCAGGGGTGTCCTCCCACACCTCCACTTCCATTTAAACCTGTGTGTGTCCTGTGTGGGTCTGAGCAGCCAGCTATTCGCTGCCAGGAGGATCTTCTCCTAAAACTCATTCTCATGAGACAGGAGTTGGCTCTGGAAGTCCAAGTCCTGTTAACTAAATCCCCCTCGGTTAACTAAAGCCATTCACACTCCTCTGTCCTGCCCTCCAGCCTCGCTGTTCCTCACTCCTCCTCCTCCCTGGCGTGGCCAACAATGACCACCATGGTCAACGTGGACGCCCTCCCGGAATATGAGAAGAGTCAGATCAAGAGAGCCCTGGAGCTGGGCACCGTGATGACCGTGTTCAGCTTCCGCAAGTCCACCCCGGAGCGCAGGACCGTCCAGGTGATCATGGAGACGCGGCAGGTGGCCTGGAGTAAGACGGCCGACAAGATCGAGGGCTTCTGTGAGTACCTGCTGGGCAGGGCAGTGTGGCCTGCCTTCCCTGCGGCCTGGCCTGGGCGGCTCCTCACCTTCCTGCCTTCACTTGCCACTGCAGTTGTTGTTTTGATACCTTCTTCTGTTCTAAAAATGGAAATGTGGCCACTTTGTCTGGGTCTCTGATGGGCTTAGAGCAGGTGGGGGAAGTTCAGCCAGTTTCTTCAAAGGCCAACTTGGAAATGACACCCAGACGGCTCACCTGGGCTAGCAGGGGGGTGCTCAGTTAGGACAGCATCAGGGCCATTGGGTTCCTGTCGATGGTTAAGTTCTCTGCCCTCCTAGGGTCTAACAGGCCAGAGTTTGTGGAAACTCATAGCTTGGTAGCCAGATACACGTCTGTTTCATGTCACTGCAAACCACAGAGTGAGAGACCTTTACTTCAGCTCATGTGGACAGAGCATGTTCTGCAGCTTTCAGATGAGATTCTGGTCCTGGTGGAGGTGTCTTGCCTTCCCCACCCCCTTTAGATTAGGCAATTGGCTCAGTTCCTAAAGTTTCTAAGACTGTTTTTGTTTTTATTATTTGTTTGTTTTTTTTGAACAGAGTGAGGAGACTTAAGCAAGTTTCAGTTGCAGAGACTTGCTTTAATTTGCATTTTTTAATTGACTATTTTAAAAAAATGTTAATCCTCACCTGAGGATATTTTTTCCATGGATCTTTAGAGACAGTTGGACAGAGGAGCGGAGGAGAGAGAGAGAGAGAGCGAAATATTGATGTGAGAGCGACACATTGATTGGTTGCCTCCGGCACAAACCCAGACTGGGGCTGGGGTTGTAACCCATAACTCAGATACATGCCCTTGACCGGAAATCGAACCCACTACCCTTTGGGGCATGGGCCGATACTCTAACCACTGAGTAGCAGTGGCCAGAGCTTGACTACTTTTTAATTGAAAAATTGAAATGTACACTTGGGGGAAAAAAACAAAAAAAATTCATAAATAAATATCTCTCTTCTTCATCCCTCATCCCATGCTTCATAGGCAAGCTCATTATCAAGTTTATCTTCCAGAAATACTCTATGCTTGTGAATGTGTGTCACGTTTTTTACACAAGTGGGTACCTACTGCATACATTTCTGCACCGTGGTTTCTTTGTTTTAGATTCAATAATTATTTTGGAGGTGGTTTGTTATCAGCACATTGATCTGCCTTATTTCAGGGCCCCAAAGCATTCTGGCTGCAGGTAACAGTGTAACCCCTAGAGAGGGACATAGACTGTTCCTGGTCTTTTGCTATATTTGCATTCTTCCTCTTCCCCTTCCTATTCCTCATCCTCTTCCCCTGCCCCTTCCCTTTCTTTTAATTTTATGATTCATATACCATATAATTCATTCATTTAAAATTAACAACTAAAATTAACAACTCAGTGGTTTTTAGTATATTCACAGATATGTGCAACCACCACCATACTCAATTTTAGAACATTTCCATCACCTCAGAAAGACTCCCCGAACCCATTAGGCATCACCCTCTGTTCCCTGTCCTCTCCCTGCTCTAAGCAACCACTCATCTACTTTCTGCTTCTCTCGATTTCCCTGACCTGGACATTTCCTTTCCCTAGAATCATGACCTTTTGCGTCTGGCTCCTTCCACTCGGCATCATGTTTTCAAGGTTGGTCCACCTTGTGGCATGTGTCAGCTCCTCTTTCCTTTTTATGGCTGAATAATATCCCTTCGCATGGATTTCCCACAATTTGTGTATCCACTCATTCACTGAGTTGTTTCTACTGTTTGGCGATTAGGAAGTGCTGCCATGGGCGCTGATGTTCCCGTGTGGATGTATGCTTTCATTTCGATTGGGCGTGTGCCTAGGAGTGTTGTCGGTGTTTAATCATTTTAGGAACTGCCAGACTGTTTTCCAAGTGGCTGCACCATTTTACATTCCCACCCGCCGTGCATGAGGGTTATCTGTGCATTATTCTGTCCTGTACATGTATGGGGATATCCGAAGGAGAACTTCCTGTAAGCGTGATTTCCGAGTTAAAGAGTATTTTAACTTGGGAGTTTGTCAGCACCCACAGCAGCCCATGCGGGTGTGAGCGGACCTGTACCCCACGCCTTCCTCCACACCGTGATGCGGGTCTGAACTGAGCCAGTCACAGGTAGACTCAGGTAGCTTGGTGTCATTCTTCATTTGATTTCTCTTGTCACGAGTGAGATTGAACAGCTTCCCAAAGGTTGCTCCTGGCTTCGGAGCCAAGGAGGCCTCGGTTGGCCCAGAGCCCGAAGCCCTGCCTTGAAAGTATGTGGAAGCAGCCAACTTGCTTCTCATCTTTGTTTGCTTTGGCCACACTGGACCTCTCCGGTGGCTCAGAAACCTGTCGCAGCTGCAGGGGGAGGGAGGGGGGAGGGCGGGGGCGGGCTGCAGGGGCACTGACAGTAAATACAGGTGTGCCACGCTGAGTGGACGGGTCCTGCTGACCATGAGAAACACCTGGGGGCTTTCAAATGTATAGGCTGCTGGAACCTTCTCCTGAAGCCCGTGCTGAGGGGCACCAGACAGGATTTGGCTCCTGAAATCATTGCCAGGTGGTTCTCCCTCTCAGTTAACTGAAAGCAATTCCCCCTTCTCCCTGGGGTGACTAAGGGTGGTGTCACTGCCCAGGTTGGCTGGGACTGAGCGTTGTAGTTAATAGACTCCCAGGTGATCATGGTAACAGCTAGGTTTGACATATACTGTTTGCAACCTTCTTCCAACCCCTCCCTCCCTCCCTCCCTCCCTCTCTCCCTCCCATTTTTGAATGCCTGCTCTGCCAGGCCTGTTCTAGGTACCCGAGACACAGCAGTGATTAGATGAGACTCACCTCCTGCGGAGCCTACGTTGTGCCACTGAGTCCAGCAGTGTTTGGTGAGCTTTGCTGTGTGCCTGGGGGCAAGTTACATCTGCTTCCTGAGATTGAATTCCCGTATCTATAGAATGGGAATAATATAGGCGTCCGCTCCACACAGTGATAGCTGGGAATGAATGAAGGAGGAAATATGCCAGAAGGGTTCAACGCAGTCGCACGGGGTGAGCATTGGACCCTCGGGCGCTGCTGCTGTTACTTTTGCCGTCGTTGTAACGAGTGGCGGCCAGCTCTGCGGGTGGCCGTCTGGCTCAGGTGTTTGGACGTCTGGTGGGATCCACTGAAGGGTTTCGAGAAGAGGGTGATGTGGTCGCATTTGTGTTTTTGTTTCGATCATGCTCTGGCGGTCCTGTGTGAGGCGGCTGAGTTGGTGTGTTTGTAACGAGACAGGAAAAGCCAATTCTGGGGTAAAGAGCTTAGGAATGAGCGAGCAGGCCATGGGCCCTGGAATGGGGACTCTTAGGGCCATGTTTTCAGCCTCCTGTTGTCAGTGAGATGCCCTGAGGGGACACCCCCCTCCCCCAAGCTGCAGTGTTCTTCAAGGGCCCTAATTAGCAGGGACTGCAGGCAACTGTGAGGTCTGCAAGGGGCAGGCTGGCATGAGGGAGCATGCGTGTGGTTGTGGGGCATGTGGCATGTGACTTCTGGCAGGTGTCGCACCCTCCGTGTGGGCCTGGATGAGGCTAGACTAGACACACGCAGATCCCACTGTCTAGAGCAGTGCGGGGTTCTCTCCACCAGGCAAACGTCTGTAGACATTTTTAGTTGTGATAATGGAGGGGGAGGATGCTCGTCGCATCTAGGGAGTGAGTCAAAGCCAGGGATGCGGCTAAACACCTTACAATGCACGGACAGCCCCACTACAAACGAATTTCAGGACCAAGTGTCCGTGTGCCAAGGTGGAGACACTCCGGTCCGGGCCATGTGCTGACTAGTTTAGAGCCATAAAGCAGCCCTGGGCCTATAGGGCTTCTCTCTGGACCCTGTCGTGGCGGAGCTGTTTGGTGAGTTTGGCCCATATTTGCTATCCTGTTGGGACCTAGACTCTGCTGAGGGGGGATGGGGTCCCGGCCCTGGAGGGGAAGCAGACTCAGCCACCAGCCATGGCGGGATTGCGTGTTGCCGCCACAGTGAGGGTCTGTCTGCACGGGGTGCCTGTGAGGAGGGCCGGCTCTGTCCATCGGGCAGGGCCGGTGATGGGAAGTGGGAGAGGCCTCGCAGCGGGGCAGCTGCCTGTGTGGGGAGTCCAGGGAGAGGCTTGCCCGGAGGCCAGCAGGAGGGCCATCCCGAGTGGGCTCAGTGGCAGCCATTGCATGTGAGCGAGGAGATGTGTGAATCGGAGGTTTGGGCTGGTTAATTCTTCCATTCTTTGCAGCTCGGGCTGGGGTGAATGGGTATTTCCTCTGGGCTGGTAGTTTCCAGAATCTTTGCTCACATGTCCGCTGCCTTGGTGGTAAGGCTGGAGGACTGGGCTCAGCCGGATGGTTGACCGACCGATGGTCTGGGGGAGCTGCACTTGGGACTTGGCTCCTGGTGGCCCCCAGGGTGTGTTTCCAGGGGTCCGGGCAGGGGCTGCAGGCCTGAGCCTCAGAGGCCCCAGCCACCTGCACCCGCTCAGGTCACCGCGGCGGCTCAGGTTCATGAATGGGGAATTTCCATTCTATCCCTGGTCAGGTCATGTACTCGAGGCAACGGATCGATGTTTCTCTCCCTCCCTCTGCCTTCCTCTCTCCCTAAAATCCATAAAAACACATCCTCAGGTGAGGATTAAAAAAATAAGAAGAATGGAGAATTTCCTCGTGGAGAGAAAGTGGCACGCATGCCCATCCAGAGAGGGAAGACACTGATGGTGACCACCTGGGGGCCAGCGACCCTGAGCACACCTGGACTCTGGGCTCAAACCCCTGCTTTGCCCTTCACTAGGTGTGTGACGAGTGAGATAATATAGTTCCTGACTTACTGGTGAAATGAAAGGGGTTCATTCTGTGTACTTTTTATATGTGGGAAACTGCACAACTGGAACAGAACACAGTGAGGGTCCCTCCCTGAGAGTCTGGCTCCCTGAGCGTCTCTGGAAGTGCTGCCGGAAGTTTTCCTTTCCTCCCGGGGACCAGCTGA